TGGCGGCAGATGCGGAGCACATCGAGATGGGAGCTGCGCCGCTGCCCAGCGCCGACGAGGCTGCTGCCGCCTTCGCAGGTCACTCCTCGGCCCCTCACACCGCAGAGCAGGGCACCTGCCGCAGGGAGGCACCTGGCGCAGGCATCCTGCCCCTCACAAAGCACACACTGCTCCCCTCACGCTCCTCAGTGCAGTAAACGGGCTAGAGCTGCCTCGGTGCACGTAAAACTACATTGCCCCGTGTCCCGTGAACACAGTGCCCCCAAGCACGCAGGTTTGTGCAGGTGAGCTGTGGTACGGCACAGTTCGGAGCAGACGTGCCTGGCTGGGTGTCTCCAGTGTTGTCACCCTTACCCCATGTGTGGTATTGACAACCCTCAGATTTCAGCCAGGCAAAGTGGCCGAACACCACACGAACATTTGGCTGTAAGCCTGTGCAGGTTTTGCCTGGGCCAAGCACACAGGTAGTGGCAACCTGGAAGTTAATACATGCCAGAGAGAGAATCAGTTGTTCATGTTGTCCTGGTGTTTGCCAGTCTCCCTTCTTGTAGTAAAAGCACCACAGCTCAGGGTGTTCCTAGTAAAGATGCGATATTTATCTTTCCCTTAGTTTGTCACGTGCTGATAGCCACTGCCATGGTCTCAGGGAGGCTAAAGCTTAATAAAATCCAGAATGATTGTGCTTATAACAACTTGTAGGTGTCATGACAAACAAAATTCATTTTGAATAGGAAGGAAGTAGGAAGCACAATTTTGATGTTTAGCTCTTTGCCAGGCTCTCTGCATGCAGCAGGATATTAAAGGACTGTCTGTTTACATTCCAGAAGTCACCACAGTGACAGTAGCCAACGTGGGGGCCTCTGCAGACAATGTTTTCACCACATCTGTGGCCAATGCAGCTTCAATCTCAGGACATGTGTTGGTAAGTCTGTGCTTTGGCAAAGTCTCACCTTCTTAGTGTAAAGGAAGAGCTGTGCTAAGGCCAAAGACCTGTTTGCAGTGCAGTATCCAGGCTTTAAGCCACAAACCCATTAGGTGGGGGTGATACAGGTTTTTAATTCATCTTTTTTTTAACCTTTCTACTCATCTACTCATTCTGTAATGAAACTGGTGACCTGGAACATGAAAAAATTTAATTTGCTTGGCTGAAACCTCAAAAATTAACCTTATAACTTCTGTACAGAAATGCTTCTTAATCAGTTTAAACTCTTTCTCTTCTACAGTCTGGGAGAACAGCCCTCCAAATTGGGGACAGCTTGAACCCTGAAAAAGCCACTCTGATCGTGGTGCACACGGATGGCAGCATCGTCGAAACCACCGGGCTCAAGGGGCCTGCAGCACCTCTCACACCAGGTACCAACCAGCCTGGCTGGAGGGGTCATGCTCCCAGAGGGATTGCTTGCTTTTTCTCCACTTAGCTGTGTTCCTAGGATTTAAAACATAGGTATCATATGTCAGGATTATCCCCTCTCAGAGTCATAAAATCATTCATGTTGGAAAGGACCTTTAAGGTATCAAGTCCTCACACAGTAATTCTTGTATTTCTTGGGGGCACAAGAACACTTACTACTTTTGTAAATTTTTTTTTTTTGGTCAGAATTATATTTCATTTCCTCATTCTTTGCCCTAACCCTTGCAAAGAAGCTGCTTGAAAAATCTTACCCTGCTGCTGGGCTTTCTACATCCATCCCACCCCTAAAGCACGTGGATCATTTTAACATGGGTAATGGAAACACGAGTCTCCCAGTTCTGCATGTGGTTTCATTTTAAGGGGTCCTGGATTACGTTTTTATCTCCGTCTAGGCCAATGGCTATGTTTTAGTGTCTTTATCGCTGAGGTTTTTTGTTCGGGGCTGCCAGGCAGTTTCCTTGTTGCCCACGAGATGGCATAGCAACTCCTTCCAGCATCGGCTCTGGAAAGGGGAATATCCGTCCAGCTCCCAACCCCGCGGCTTACAGGTGGTGTGAGGATCAGGTTACAACCTCAGCGTTTATTCCCCGTCAGAACTGTTTCCAAAGGTGCTGTTAGTTTAATTTTCAGTCACTTCCAATACCGTCAAGCTGAATGTTTTGTAGTGCAGCACTGTGGGCAGGATCCAGCTGCTCCAGTCACCCTCTGGGCTCACGCCCCAGCCCAGTGTGAGATGGAACAGCCACTCTGCCTTTTGGCTGCTGTCAGCTTTCTCTTCTCTTTTCTCAAAGGACCACAGTCTCCTCCTACCCCTCTAACAACTGTCCAAGGGAAAACTGGAACAAAGTACAACTGGGACCCATCGGTGTATGAGAATGAGCTCCCGGTGAGGTGTCGGAACATCAGTGGCATTCTGTACAAAAACAGGCTTGGCTCAGGTAACCATGGCCTGGGGGAGGAGTGTGCCAGCTCCTTCTTCACTCTTCCTTTAATCAGGCAGTTTTTAAGGGCTGAAAGTGAGGGGGAAAAAAAAGAGAGTTTCCAAGCCAGCCCAGTGCCTTTTGATATTATTGTTCTATTCTGTGCTGCTCTTTCTTCAGAGGCTTTTTAACTTTGTCTCAACTGAAGATTGAGGCTGCCATGCAGTGAGTCTCCTCAGGAACAGGTTGACTCCTCTCACATCCTTTTTCTTTCAGGAGTAGACTTGTGTTTCTACAAAGCACTAAAGAATCCCTGCTGGAATGAGAATAGAGAGTTTATGTCCTCACAGGAATCTCGAGCACCTCCTCTTCCCTCTCATCTCTGTGGGGAAGCAGGAGAAGCAGCAGCAGGAGCTGCATCCAGCCTGGCTGCCCAGCACAGCCCTTGCTTCACAGACAGAGGGTTTTCTTCACCACCAGAAAGATCAGAAATTTAAGTGCAGATTAAAGAAAAGCTTAAATTCATGGTGTTCATCCAGGAAAGACTCCTGCTGTGGAAGAGTAATTTTTGTTGCCTTTTGAGGTGCAGAGTTGGCGCTGTCACAACCATGACAATAAATGGTTATGGTTATGCCAGAGCAATGGCAAGCAGCAAATAGGCACATTTGATGATTGCTATGGATTCATTGCTAATTTATCCATCAATTTCCATATTTACTTCTTTAGTAAAGTGGTAAAATGATCTTTAACCTCGACTAACTGTGTGTTGCTGCTCTGTGTCAGGAGGCCGTGGCAGGTGCATCAAGCAAGGGGACAGCTGGTACAGCCCCACGGAGTTCGAGGCCATGGCAGGGCGAGCCAGCAGCAAGGACTGGAAGAGGAGCATCCGCTATGCTGGGAGGCCACTGCAGTGCCTTATCCATGTAAGGTTAAGTTTGCTCCCTCCTTTCTGTGGGAAGGGGCAGGTGGAGCCAGGAGCTGCCTCTGCAGAGCTGTGGGTGATGGCACCCAGAGCCGTGTTTGGTTCGGCTGGGAGTCAGGGATGTTGAGGGGAATTCTTCTAGATGTGTCTCAAATAGCAAACTGGGAATCTTGCTTGTACTGGAAAGGGGTTGGAGTTTCTGCAGGATGAGGCCCAGCCTGGAGCTGTGTCACAGGAATTGAGCTCTCACCCATAATATGCGATTCAGTAACCTGATCTCCTTCATTCTCTTTGCCTGACACACTTGTTCTTCACTTCCACCATTCTCTGAGTGTTTGAACCCTTTATTTCCTGCATGATCAGGAGTCTCCTGGAGAACTTGGCATTGCCAAGGCTGACAGTTGGGCAGAAACTTAATAAAGTCTCAAATTCACACATCCTTGACTGTGGATGTGAAAACTGATTGTTGTTCCTTCGCTCTGTGACCCACTCCCCCTACGCTGTGGTGTGGGGAACTGGCTTCTCTGTTAACATGTAGGGTCCAGGAGGGAGTGGATACCTCTCTGTGGGAGCCATCCACATTTTTTAGCAGGATGCAGGTGGGGTTTGGTGACTCTGATGCTGAACTAGTCCCTTCTCATTCCAGGATGGCATTTTAAATCCTCACGCTGCCTCGTGCACTTGTGCCGCTTGCTGTGACGACATGACTCTGGTGAGTTGCAGGTTTACATCCAGTAGTTTATAAACTAATTAGTTATGTTTGAAAAATTCACTGCTCAAGCTGCCATGGCCCATGGGGAGAAGGTCACGAGTGTCCTGGGAATGCTCTCAAATGGTTTGTGCCTGCTCCATGGAGAAAGGGGATAAGAAGCTGTTGGCACTAGTGTGAAACAGCCTCAGTAAAACCAGATCATGGTTGCTGCTTTTTTCCTTCTTTTTATCTCTTTTTCTAAATAATATATTTATGTATATTTTTTATGGGGATGTCAATACTATTTGTGATTTTTGACTCAAATTTCACAATTCTCTGAGTTGGAGAAATATTTTTATAAGGAATTAAGATAATACTCTTAGGATGGATCTATGTTTTCATCTTAAAACTGCTTGGTTGGTTGGTTTGGGGTTTGGTTTTTAGGTTGTTTGTTTCAAACTGAGGTTCACTGAAAGCAGAGCTTGGCTTGGTGTTTTGCATTTATTCACTGCCATGAACTGGCTGATTTATTTGTTTCCTAGGTCTGAAACTACTTCTTCTCTTCTCCTCACTCTGGTTCTCTTTTCCTCCACCACCTTGGCCATGAGTCCATTATTTACCCAGATTTGCTCCTTAAATAATAG